ATAAATAAGCGGGCTGGGTAATGAGGATAAGATGACCCTCATATGGTGGAGTTCAGTTCGGTTCGGTGAGTTCAGGGGATAAGGTCCAACAGAGGAAGTCTTCAGATCCCTTCCTCATTGTGGGTGCGCGAAGTCACGCCGGCTCACTCTTGGTATTGGCGGTGGCTGGTGATGTGCTCTGTATAAATGTCTCGGGACCATCGGATAGTGTCCGAGACCATTAGACATTGCATGAGCCACGCATAGTGACGGCCTACCCCACAGGTACTCAGTACACGCTCATTACAGGGGTCCCAGGCGCCCAGGGCCCCAACGATCAGAGCGTTGGTGTACACCTCATAGCTCTTTGTCCACAGGGTGTCAGCCAGCGGGGTGTACTTTTTGAGTTTGCGGGCTCGGGCTTCGCGGAAGGCCGGGGTCCTATTCTCGAATGGGATTGTCACGTCGACGAGGATGATCTTTTTTCGAACCTCGTCCGCGACGACGATGTCCGGGCACAGCGGGCTGTCGGTGTCGGGGACGGCACGGTTGACGGCGATCTCTCCCAGGCGTGGGTCGATGGCCTTCACTAGGCGGTCCTGGACGGCGTTGTGGCGCAGCTGCCAGGTACGGGCATGGGGCTTGCAGCTGCACAGAACGTGGGGCAGGGTCTCGGTGACGTACCCGCACTTCCTGCAGCGCTTGTCCTGGTTCCCGTGATGGACAGCTCCATTGAGAGGGACACAATTCAGCCGGGCGCAGTGTGTGAACCGCCAGTCGGCGAATCGGGTGAAGCTGCCCGCAGGGAGAAAGTAGTTGCTGGAGTCCCACTTGCTGGTCACCTCAAAGGCCTTACCCTGGTCTGGCTTTTTCCGCAGGGTGTCCACATAGCGTGCGTGAACGGCGGCCTTCAGAGACCTCTCCAGCGCTCCTCTGGCTCTGGGGGTGACGATCGTGTTGCTGTCTGTCCCGATCCGCGGCACCAGGACTCCCAGCTCCTGCCGTTCCTTGCTCCACTCCCAGGGGCAGCCCAGTCGCTTCCCCAGTCAGCGCGTGGCGTTGCGGGCGCGGGACCACAGTGAGGCAATGTTGCCCCCGTACTGGGCGAATTCGCTGTCAAGGGAGCTTTTCAAGAAGGTGGCTATATCTCGGTCGGAGGGAGCTCTGCCGATTCGCTTCGCGATGACGGTGCGGAGGGCGGTCATCGCGACGTTCTTCATCTTGGCATCCGGGCACGTCAGGAGGCGGAAGGCGTGCGTGATGACCGCAATGTCGCACAGGTCGCCCATGCAGGGGACGTTGGCGCCGCCGTGCCTGTGCGCGATGTACACGAGCTC